AAAAAAAAAAAAAAAAAAAATTTGAAAGAAGAAAAAAGAAGAAAATTTTTATTTGTTTGAATGTAACCCATTATAATGATTTTGTACACAAGAAAATAAATTTATAGTAGATCATATATTTATTAGTAACCTTATTGAATTAAATAAGGAGCGATTGAATAATTTTAAATAAGGAAATAGATATTGTTTGATCGGAGTATAACATTCCAAAAATAATAAAACATTTCGTTTTTATGTAATTGTCACCAAAAAAAAACTTAAAGATTTTCACAATGAAACAAATTACAATCATCATTCATTACACGTTTCATAATGATTAACAATGAGAAGGGAAATTTCTAAAACTTCAAATGTTTTCAATTTTAATTAAAAATATTAAAAATTATTATTATTATTATTATTTGAACTTTTTGTTTAGGAACTTTACTTTTTTCGTATTAAAAGGTAATAAATAAACTTTTATAATAAATAACTTTATCCGATAATAAAGACAAGTTTAAAGTACGGTACGTTAAAAAGTTACCTCCTTAAAAAAAATTTATTTTGAAACTCACGTGATATAACGTGATATACTTGATGTACTTTTTCTTTTCCCAGTAATTCAGTAATTTGGATAATTTACAATATATATAATATATATTAATATATATACTATTACAATTATTACAATATTATGATATTTTATTATGATATTTGTAATTGATTACAAATACTAATTTTAATTGTTTAATATCACCTTTTTAATTAAGAGATTTGACAAGAATGAACATCATCGTGACATAAATATTTATTTTATATTGATTTTCTTTGTTAGATTGATAGTGTAACGGACACACGAAAAAATTTGTGTGATATTGTTCTTTCATGTGACACAAGCGAGAAATGTTGACAAAAAAATATTTCGATTGTCACTAAAACAAGTTTGACATCAGGAATATTTTATTTATGAGTATATGCAAAGATTGAGTTCAAAAAAATTATTTTTTTTTTTTTTTTGTACAAGAGAGGGAGAAATAAAAAAAAATTATATAAAAAATTTTTAATTCCCTACGTTTAAATTTTTTGGTAAATGCTAAAACTATTTACTATATTTTATATATAACAGAAAAATAAGATAAAAAAGAGAAAGACCCCAAGATAAATTATCTGACATAAAAAAAAAAAAACTTTTAAACATGTGTGTAACCGTTGACCAAATTCCAAATATTTCTATCATATGTAGCCAGGAAATTTGAAGATATTGGAATATCTATCGGAGGTAATAATAAAGCTGGTGTTGGTGGTAGTGGTGGTGGTTGTGGTGGTTGAATAGGTGGTGGAGGACTTGATGTTATGGGAGTTACATCTTCCATAAGATTATTATTATCGTCTTCGTAATCGTTATTATTATCATTATTATTATCACTGTTATCGTTATTGATGTCGTTGTTATTGATGATGTTGTTGTTGATGTTGTTGTTGTTGATGATGATGTTGGTTTTGTTAGCGTTGCTATTAGCGTTGCTGTTAATGTTACTGTTAGCGTTGCTGTTAGCGTTGCTGTTGATGTTGCTGTTAGCGTTGATGTTAATGTTGTTGTTAATGTTGTTGTTAATGTTGTTGTTAATGTTGGAATTGTTAATGTTATTGTTAATGTTGTTACTACTGTTGTTAATGTTGGAATTGTTGGAGTTGTTGTTGGAGTTAATATTGTTGGAAGGATTATTATTGTTTGAAGGATTATTAACGTTAGAAGGATTATTAACGTTGGAAGGATTATTAACGTTGGAAGGATTATTAACGTTGTTAACGTTAGAGGGATTATTAACGTTGGAAGGATTATTATTGTTGGGGTTAATATTGTTGGGGTTGTTACTACTAACGTTATTTGGTGGGTCACTTTGAGTATAATGAGCCCAGCGCCATTTTTTATTACCTTCTTCGGCGCTTGCTAATATATCTAGTCTGGGTTTAATACATACGGGCGGATTCATGTCAGATAAGAAAGTTGTAGAAGCAACAAAACTTTTTGTCATGGTAATTTTATCTCTCTTTAAATCTTCTTTTTCTTTTAATAATTCTTTCATATCTTTTTCTTTTTTATCATTCTTTTTACTACAAGAATCCACAGTCACTTCTCTAAAAATGGTACCATTAGCACCTTTTTTATTGGACTTGTGTTTTGGTTGATAAACATATTGAGGATAAGTACAATCGTGAACTTTTTTAGCACAATCAGCAATCAATTCATATAATTGTTTAATTTCATTTGATTCTTCAGACCAATTTTTAGCAGCTTCATTTGATATTAATTTAAAATTTTTAGCAACACCATGACCTTGTTGTTTTGTAATAACAGCATGAAAATTTCTACGATAAAGTACAAAATTATTTTGAGGACGAGGAATAGCACGACGTCTTCTATTTTCTCTTGGAGAAATAAGTTGTCTAAGTGGAACGGCTATTGCTTTTTCAATCTTTGAAAGAGTAATTGCGTCAATATTTGTATTTATTATATGGTCCACTATTTCTGTAGGTGACATTTTCTCTATTTGTTGAGAAAATTCTGGTGGTGGATAAGGAGCCAAAGTACGGTCTTGTCTTGTCTCGAAGCAATAAAACGACATGTTTTTTTTAGAAAAAAAAAAAAAAAATTTATTTTTATTTTTATTTTTTTTTTTTTTTTTCCTGATGACTTTTACGTTTTTATCCAAAAATTCCAAGTGACAGTGTTTATATATTAATTTACTAGTGCATTCTTTGCTTAAATTGGCAATAAAGAAAGCCAAAAATTTTTTATATTAATAGTAATGATTAAAGTTTATCACATTACCCACATTACCGAAGTAGTTCTTATAAAAAAAAACTATTATAAGGTTATTATAAGTTTTATATAAGTTTATAATAAGTTTATTTTAATTTATTATAATAGACTTCTTATCTCTAATATCTCGATATATTTTGCTATTGAAGTTAAAAGGGGCAGTGATTTCCCTATTCGGAAGAGATTGTTGAACCCAAATGGTTATTTAATATTATTTATAGAAAAAAAATTGGGTAGTAAACTTTTAATATACTAGTAAAATGAAACACCCGATAATAAAAAAGTAATATTTTTATTATTCATAAAGAAAGGGGAAACAATGGAAGTTTTTTAATTTTAAATAGTAAATAATTTTAATGTATATTTTTTAATGTATATTTTAATTTATTAGCTAAAAATGAGAATGTATCATTTTTGTAACATTTTTTTTTTTTAATATTGTCCTTTTTAAAAAAAATTACCTTGTTTGTACTCAATGCTTTATGTGTATGTTGTTTCTTTTTAAATTGTTGTCCGAATAAAGGTATTTAATAATAGAAATTCTTTGAACACTTTTTAATACTTTTTAATACTTTTTTTTTTTAATAAAAAAAAAAAAATAATTTTTTTTTTCCTTCTGTGTCCCAAAAGTGGAAATTCCGTCAACTGTATTCTCTAAATGGGAATAATAGTCATAGATTACCGTTGTTTTTTTTTTATTATTTGCATTTTAACCGGAATTATGATTTTAAAATGGAACATCCAAAGAGAAAGTAAACTAATTTTAGAAGAAAATAGCGCCAAATTTTAATAAATCCACATGTTGAGCCACGACGATATTTTTAAAAATAATAAGCGATGATCATTATATCAAAAGTTCTCGCGCCATTCTCACAATGACTCATCTGTGAACGGTCACCCATTGTGGACGAGAATGGAATCCTTAAATTGACCATGTTACACTATTAAAACACCAATCATTGATTTCAAATTTCAAATATGAAAAAAAATTTCCATTTTCAAAAAAAAATTTGTTACATAAAAAAAAAAAAACCTCATTTTTCAATTTTCTATTGTTTAGTATTTTTTGGTAGATGAACCGGTGTTATTGTTGTTGTTGTTATAAATCTTGATTTGGAACTTGAAATTGTGTAACTGTAACTTATGAACTTATGCATTTGCTGAGAAAATCGATTAAAGATTAAGAAGTTTACAAAGTATATATTATTATTATTATTATTTAAAACGAAACATAATAAAACGCAGGGGTATTAATAAATATATATATAAAAATCTTTTATTGGTAATTATTTACTGTTTCGAAATAAAAAATAAAAAATAAATTTTTTTTTTTTTTTTTTACCACATTAACCGACTTTACCACATTAACCACTTTACCAATTTACCACTTTACCGCTTTACCACTTTACTGCTCAAAAAAAATATTTTTAACAAAAAAAAAAAGGGGATTTTAAAAAAATGTTTGAGATTTATAGGATTCTTTTAATAGAGTTTATAAGTTTTATCATAATCATTCAAAAAAGGCAACACCTGTTGATATACATTTCTTACAATATAAAAAAAAATAAGTTCCGAACTTTTCCGAATTTTTTTTGAAATGATTTACACTTAAAATATGTAAACAAATAGAAAACAAAGAAAAAATTTAGTCCCAGATTTTTAAATGATGTAAAAAATGTCAAGAGATTCCCTTATTTGAGTAAAAGATGGAATAGAATGACGAATTCTCGTGATCATTGTAAAATTTTTTATGTAAAATATGTAAATATGTAAATATGTAAATTATGTAAAAATTATCTATATATAATATATATATATATATGTAAAAAATATGTAAATTTATATATTTATATATATATAAATAAAATAAATACAAATAAAAAAATATATAATATATAAATATACATATATATATAAATTTATTATATAATTTATATGTAATAATATAATGGTTATAAAGTAAATTTTATGTAATAATATTTTTACGCCAATTTCCCAATTCCCTAAATTTCGTAACGCTTACTAGAATTAAAACCGACTTTTTTTTTTAAAGTTTACGCCCCCACATAGTTTACTTTTTATATTAAATATTTTGATGATGGATTACTTTTTTTTTTTTCTCTCTCTTTTTTTTTCACAATCAGATAAATTGTTTGCTATTTTAAACGGTAAAATTTGAAATGTTCTAGTATCGATTATTCTTTCGATAAAAGGAAATTATAATGTAACAAGGTTTATGTTTATCGTAACAAATAATTATTAAGGTTAAGGAGGTCAAGATAAATTTTACACGGGTTTTAAATTTTTCTAAATAACGAGGGTCGATAAAAAGTATCCATGATAAAGTTTGGTGATTGTGACTATATTATACATATTATACAGGTTTTAACTGATTTTTATTTACGATAAAAAAATTGATAAATAATAATCAAAGTGTCAATCACAATCAAGTTTGGTTTTTTGATATCAAAATTATACAACATTGAATAAAAAAAAAATTATAATAAACATTGATTGATGATAAACATAAAAAAACTGACACTCATTTATCAGATGAACAATGCAGTAATTTATCATATTTATCATATTTATCATATTTATCATCAAAAGGGTGATCTTTTTTAAAAACGAAAAGAAACTTTTCTTTATTAATCATTTTTTTATTCGGGATTATAAATTGTTTCAAAAAAAAAAAAAAAAAAAAAAAAAAAAAATTTTTTTTTTTTTTTATTATTATTGTCATGGAAAATACCCTTGTTTTACCATTTATTAAAAACGTATTACAAATAACCACAAAATATGGGGTTAAAAAAGTGGGATTAAAGTTTTTTGAAATTTTTTGGCATTTGGCGTAAAGGCGAATCGATTTTTAATCTAATCGGTGTATTCGTTTTAAATGAGGAAAAAGATGATTTATGAATGATTTCTCTACCGAGATTTTTACCGATAAAGCAAAAAGAGATTTAATATTGTTGTTCTATATTGGTAATATTATTTTATTGGTAATATTATTGGTAATAAAAATCTTTTTTATACCCATCTTTTTTTCAAAAAAATTAAAAATTTGAAAGGAAACAATGAATTAATCAAAATTTATGTGTTATGTTCCATATAAAGGTATGTGATTATAAGGTACGATTATTTAGGATTACTTGAGATTATTTGGAGATTATTTGAGATTATATAGATTATTTTGGATTACTTGATATTATTTATTATTTGAGATTATTTATTAGAGATTATTGAGTTATAAAATTCTATAAATTCAAATAATCTCTATAAACTCAAATAATCTCAAATAATCTCAACTCAAATAATCTCAAATCTCAAATATCAAAAAAAAATTTCTTTTGTAAAATTGACATTTGTAGCATTCATTCATAATCCTTTTACACTGCAGAAATAATAAATGATCTTTTTTGATAAATAATGAAATGCGAGGTGGGGATCGACATTAATAAAAAAAAACACCATCATTATTTCAAAAAAAAAAAAAAATTTTAAAATAAAAAAATTGACAGGTTTTTTTTTAACAATATTAATTATATACAAAGTTCAACTATATTTACATAAAAGGAATGTATCTAACCGCCAAACTGCCGCAATCACAAGGAAAAATCAAATCAATTTAACCAAAAAAAAGATGAACGCCCACAATATTAAAAATGCCATCATTTTACAGTTTTTTTTTTTCTCTTCATTATAATATTACATTATATCCTTATCAAGTAATTAAATGCCGCCCAAAATAATTTTAACCATAAAAGTTGGTTAAATTGTTTTTCTAGTTCAAAAAAAAAAAAAA